GTAAAGTTAGGTGAGTGTGTTTGACCTCAAGGGGTTTGACCAAGCTGAGTCTCTCGGCGTTAACTGACGTAGCAGGGCTCGAACTGCGTGGCGGCGCGCTTGCGCTCCCACAGGAGGGTCGGCGCCTCGCGCGCCGAGTGCGCGCCGTGCACGGAGCGCAGCGCGGGCAGGCGCGGCAGGACGGCGCGCAGGGCGTCCAGCTCGCGGCCGCGCAGCTCGCAGCTGCACAGGTGCAGGTGCTCCACGCTGGCGGGGGCGGCGCGCAACAGGTGCGGCAGCTGCGTCGGCAGCCAGTCGCCGGCCAGGTGCAGGCTGCGCACCTGCCGGCTGGCGGCCAGGACGGCGACGGGGAAGTCGAGGTCGTCGTCCAGCTCGAGGCGCAGCTCCTCCAGCCGGGCCAGGACGGCGACGGGGTCGCCCCACCGGGCCGTGACGTCGTCGGCCTGGTGCCGTCCTCGGTTGCGGTGGAGTGCCCAGAGGAACTCGTGGTCGGGTCGCTCGTAGGAGAACCAGAGGCGGAGAGTGCGGAGCTGTGGCAGGCGGCCGACCAGCGCCGCGCCGTCCACGTAGTCCGCCCCGAGGGAGCGCAGTCCAGGGCACGTGGCCGCCACCTGTCCAAACGTCGGGCACTGTCAGGGGAGACGCGCCGGCCCAGAAAGAGGCTGACGGAGAAAAGTTTGGTCCAACTTTTCTTCTACTGCCCTCTCTCGCCTTGTCTCTCTCTCTCTCTCTCCTCCCGCTCGTCTCCCCACTCGACGCTCACCTGCTCAAGGACGGCCCTGCCGACGACGCAGTGCCTCCGGGGCAGCACGAGCCCGCGCAGTGGCCTCCTCGCCGTGATCGCGGCCACGAGCACGGGGCCGAAGCTGCTCTCCACGTGCTCCACGTCCAGCTGCTGGAGGGCGGGGCAGCCGCGGGCCAGGTCGTCGAGCGCGGCCGACAGTAGGCTGAAGACCCACCCTCTGACCCGGAGCGTGAGCAGCGTAGGGGACGCGGCCACGGCGCGGAGTATCTCCGTGCCGATGTGCGCCGCGCTCGCGTACCCCAGGCACAGGTCTAGCGTCTCCGCGCGCGCGGAGTAGTGGCGTACGAGGGCAGCCACGGCCGGACTGTCCCACCACCAGAGCGTCAGCTTCAGACTCCGGACCCGCGCGCATCCCTGCAGATGCACACAAGGTTTTGGATTAGCACCTTAATTTGTGGGATTGATTCACACAGACGTTTAAAACAAACCAGCAGGTAGTCTCTGGATTTGCCACGCTATTCCCGCACCTTTTCTATCTGGTCCATGTGCTCGTGCACCCTGGCGGTCGCGGCGACGGTGAGGTCCAGCTCGCCGAGCTCGGGGGCCACGGCCACGGTGCGCAGGAAGCTGTCGACGTGGTCGCCGTCGCACCTGACGCGGCGGCGGCGCCACAGCGAGGGACAGCCGGCCAGGCGTCGCCAGCGCCGGCACACGTTGCGGACGGGGCCGCCCAGCTGCAGCGCCTCGGTGGGCAGCAGCCCCAGCACCAGCAGCAACAGCTCCGAGGGCAGCGCCTCCATCTGCGGCCAGCCAAGGGAGGACTTTAGATAGCACCTTTGCGCGAGTGTTGTTCAGACGGCCTAGGTGGTCGCCGTTCCCGTCATTCCCAGTGTTGGTGAATACATCGGTGAATAAAGTTTAATTGAACCTAGCGGGGAACGCTTTTAAGAGCATGTCAATTGGAAGGGGGCTGATTTCATTCAAAATGGACCGTCTAGACCGTCTAGACCGTCTAAACGGCGCTCTCGTTTAAAGGCGGAAATAAGGTAACGTAATAGACCTGCAGCGCAGGCGGGCCGGCACAGGTCGGCACCCATTACTCACCATCGAAGCTTTTTGACCCTCCACAACCCCGTCCTCGGCGTTGCCGTCTTCCACGACGCTATCCTCCTCGACGCCATCCTCTGCGACGCCGTCCCCCTCGACGCCGTCCGACAAGGCGTTGGCCTCTCGGACGCCGTTCACCAGGACGTCACCATGCGCGGCACCGTGCTTCATTCTGACGATCCTCCGGCTAGCTGAACGTCATGACGCGCACCCGGGCCGGCGCACGGGCTCCTCTTCGAGTAGGGCTATGTCCTGGAGATGACCGCCGGCTTGCCTCCACTCACCGCTCGATCGCCCAGACCACGACGACGATGGAGTTCCCTGCGGCCACTACTTGCGGACGACACTGCCGGCGGGGCTGCCCCGGCCCGCGTCCGGGCTGCGCTTGGCGTCGACAGCCACGACGGCGGCACCCCGGCCGCGGCGGCCCGCTGCCCCGCCAGCAGCTGCTCATTTGGACGTCGACAGCGCGGCCGGCGCAACCTGACCGAGTGTGTCGGGCCCGTGCGGCGGCGCCCGGCGGCCCCGCGGGGCTTCGACTTATCTTGCCGCGAGGACTCTGTTCGGGTACGCCCTGGGCTTAGAATGACAGGGCCCCGCGGACGTAGGGCCCTTCAGCCGCGGTTGGGCCGAACGCGCTGTAGCCGCGGTGACACCTTGACCTACAGAGACCTAGAGATTAGATGCATGTTATCAGCAGCAAGCGGAGTGTGAGTGGAGGGGGGGGGGGAGGGCAAGGGTGTTCATAATGTTTTTTTCGTTACACGTACCCACGCACGCGATGCATCCTAATACCGTATCTCTTATCGGGTCTCCGCGGATGGGACCTGGGTCCCCCCCCCCCCCCTCCCTTTTCCACTTTTCACTCTCGTGTACTTCGCCCCCCCGCCGTGGGACCGCGGCATGACGCGACACGGACTATACATCTCGCCGACGTTGACAAGATGCGCGCTCTGGGGCGGAGCGCGCGGCGTGGAGTGTCTCGTGACAGGAGGCCGCCTTCCTTACGCTCGGAGGGGATACATGAGGCCTCGGGAACAAATTCGCACCCTGAGAGCCTCTAAGGTGTGATAAACGCTCGCCATTCTACTAACGAGGCACGGGCCCAGTTTGGAGGGAGGGAATGAGAAAGTTTGGAGGGGGGGGGGGAGGGCGTTGGGCTGCCTAGTCCGCAGGCGCATGTCACCACCGCGCTCGAAGCGCGATGAGTGGCCTATCTCTCGGGCGCCGCGCCGCTGAGCCAGCTCCACTCAACAGAGGGTTCCCGCTGTGCCCATTTCAAGAAGAATGAAGGCAATTGTCACAGGAAACAGTACTGAAATTACGGTAAAACTAGTGCAAATAAACCTTCACAGTTTTTATGGACTACTCGAGGTCATTTATGTGAAACTGTAACTGCTTGGTAAGAAAAATAAGCGGATCTTTCTTACTGGCTCCGGTTCTGATTTCTTTAATTCTTCTCGAAACGCGCAGAGCGGGAACCGTCTATTTGCGTGACTGGGCCTGCCATGGTAAAGCTAGTTGTGCAGAATTTCAAAGTGGAAAATTGTTTTATTAGCAAAAGTATGTATATATCAGGTCCTGTTAATCACAAATTTTTCCTCATTAGTTGTACTAGAACATACAATTAGCAAGAAGTAGCACGGTGCGGACTATAGTTCGCCAGCCAGTCACGGGAGTCAGTCTTTGGCATTATTTCGACCGAGAATACACATTTACAAACAATGAAAAAGATATTTTGTTTAGTTTCTAACATTTGTGGTCTAACTTGAAGGTCATGTGTGGCGAGCTTGTCCTTGGACGCGGGGGGAAAGGGGGCGTACTCGTAGTCTTGTTTCAGTCTGCTGCGCCCGCGCATCACCGGCATCAGAATGGTCTGACTAGTCGGCCGCGAGGCTTTTGTCCATTCCACCTCGGTGGAGCAGGGAGGTGGCTGCTCAGAAGGGCAGGAGGCCGGGAGGGATGGGCTGGGGCCGGTGGCCGTCCTTGTTGCCCCGCCCGACGGGCAGGGGCGGCGGCGGCACGTCCCGGATGCCCTCGCCCGACGGCCGGTTGTTCTTGATGCTGTCGATGTCCACGGCGGGCGGCGGCTGGTACTCGCCCGGGTGGGCGACCTCCTCGACGGTCTGGACGGCGCGCGCCGCCGGGAAGGGCGCCGGAGGTTGGCCGGCGGCGTCCTGGGGCAGCTGCTGCTGTTGCAGCTGTTGCTGCTGTTGTAGGTGCTGCTGCGGGTGCGGCTGCTGCGGCTGCTGTTGCTGGACGTCTGACGCGTACACCACCGGCCATGGTGTGGACTGTGACAGAGACATACGTTAGGATTGAAGCACGAGGGCTCGACGCACCGCGTTGCATAGGAGGAAGGCCGCACTTACCTGATCCTGCTCCTGCGCCAGCGCGACCTGCTCCTGCGTGAGGCCGGGCTGTACGTGCAGCTCGAGTGGCTGTTGCTGGCCCTCCTGTTGGCCGTCCTGGGGCAGGGACACGAGCTGCTGTGGGCCCTGCTGCTGATGCTGCTGTTGCGGCTGGCGGGGGTCGTACAGCAAAGGGGGCTGGTGCGGCGTCACCTGAGTGGAAAATGCGAGAGGTGGTCGGATAAAAGGGTTATTTATCTCAACACAATCAGTCGCCAAAAAAATCAGAAATTTCTGATGTCAAAAAAACTAAGGGGCATCGAAGAAAGTCGAGATAAAACACGAAGGAACAGAGAAATAAGTGTGCGCGTGAATTCATAGTGAAGCACCCCTCGGTTGGACGTTCAGTTTGTTGTGATTGTGCACTGACCTGTGGGAGGATGAGCGGGCCGGAGGACGCGGGGTAGGTGTGGTGCGGCGGGTAGTACAGCACCTGGCCCACGGTGGCCTGCTCGGTGCGGCTGGGCAGCAGCGGCTCGTTGGAGGTGATGAGGGCGTTGTACACCTTGGGCACGCGCAGCAGCCGGCCGCGGGGTGCGGCGCGTGCAGCCGACAGGCTCAGCAGCAGCGCGGCCGCGAGCCACCACTTGGGAAGAAGGAAAAAATAATTCTAAAGACTCGCACTCCTGGTTCTGACAACATCAAAAGTGTTCAACTCGAATACTGAACGAGGAGCCTCCTACGGAAACGTTTCAAATTAGCGGTTCTAACCTATAAAAATAAAGCAGCAGGGACATACAGCTCAGTTTGCATATTCGCCTACTCGCTCCAGCCTTAAGGCTCCATGGCCTCTTGTGTATGCTAGCCCGCAACACCACAACACTGCTGGCGGGTCGAAGCCCTGACTGTCACATGGCTGTTGTGTGCCTGGCATGCATACCGTAAAAAAATAGATTGTGGCTGGCATGCACACTTTTGCAATTTAAGGGACTCAGGATTCCACTGGAAATACATGGTGAGCTTACCTCTTTGGACACCGTCAGGTGTGGTTTCATAAACACTTGACGTGACATATCGCCGCCAGGGTCGGCACAGCTTTGCTGGAGAGGCTCACCTTGTTTCTCGCTGCGACGCGCATGGTGGTCGGGCTGCTGCGGTCGTTGGCGTATCGTTGGCAGACTCGGGGCGGCACTATTTGCAGACGTCGGCTGTGCACTCGGGGCTCGGCCGCATCATGTCCTGCCGACAGTTGGGACCAGACTGACGGAGGAAGGGAGAGGAAAGAGTGATGTTGCAACTAACTGGAGGCGATCCGGCCGGCCCGCCCCAGGGACGGCGAGGACGGCGAGAGAGACAGGGAGAGAGAATATTCCATGCACCCACTTGCCTTTTTCCCGCCCGCCAGCTGCCCCGCTTCCGTCGTCTGCTTTGGTGTTCGATTATGTGATTGGTTCTGGACATCAGTGACTCATGGCGCGAACGAATCGCCGGGTCCTGCCGCACCTCCTCCACGCCCCTCCCCGCCCTCCCCGCCCTACCCGACCCCACCCCGCGCCCCGCGCATGTGGGTGCCCGGCCTAGGTCAACGGAACTGGGATCGCTGTCCTCCCGTGGCCTTGCTCTTTGCTCGCCGGGCGTGGTGGTGGCGGCTGCGTGTGCGTGGACCCACAACTTACTCAGATGGACTCGGTCTCGAAGCTGGACACGGCGCGCACCAGCTGCAGCGGCAGCAGCTGCGGCACCTCCAGCTGCGGCAGCAGCACGAGCACGAGCAGCAGGGACGCGGGGCTGAGCAGCAGCAGCAGCGCCGCGTACAGGAGCGACATCCAGGCCGGGGTGCCGAGGAGCGACGGCGTGGCGAGAAGCATGGCGTCGTCTGCTGGGGCAGCTGTTGTGTGAGACCGCCCAGCCGCGGAGCGCTGAGCAGTGTTCCTTGTGCCTGCAGGCAGTCGTCACATCAGTTTGCGTTTTAAAACGTTTGCCAAGAAGGTTGCCGCCTCGTGACATGCTAGCCGCACAACCTAGACCTAGAAGTCTCCCAGCCTCAACCGGTAAACAACCTTCAACTGTTTTTTTCGGAAAGGCCTGGCCGGGCCTGCCGCTCAGACCCAAGAGACATCCGCGCCTGCGGGCCGGTTTTCGTTCAAACACGGCCGTGGGTGCAGCATGTGACAGTATCCATGCCGGAACACGCTCGCACTTGCAAGTGACGGTAACGTCGAGACGCTCGTCGCTGCATTTTATGCGATGCGTCACGGACAGGGGAGAGAAAATGACTCACCTCCTTTGGTGTAGCGCACTGTATCTGCCAACAAGCTGATTGCTAGGATAACTCAATCACAAACAAACTAATAAACGAACACACCCACACACGCACGCACATGCACGCCCACCGCGCCCGCGCGCCTCCGCCGCTGCAACTGCACTGCACGAGGGCGCGGCGGCGGCGCGTCCGCGGCTCCCACCGCCACCGCTCCCCTCCTCTCCCCTCCCCTACCTCGAGCTCGCTCGCCGCCCCTCTCTAGGTCTTGTGCTGCCGTTGTTGGAGCTCCAAGGGTACCGGGTACCGACCGGCGCGGCGAGGTTAAGGTTCGCGTCGTCTGGGGCGCCCGCGGTCCGCGCCGGACCGGTCCAGCCGCCCGGTCGCTGCCGCCTAGCCGGGAACCCCGGGGGCCGGGGAGGCCGCGGGGCAGCGTAGAGCGCGGTGGCAGAACCGTGGCGGAGTTGTAGACAGTTGTAGAAAGAGCCGTGGAAAGTACTGTAGAGAGAGCTGTAGACAGAGCTGTTGAGGACAGTTCTGCCGAGGACAGCGCTGCTGTGGACGATGCTGCTGAGGACAGTGCCTCTGAACAGTACTACAGCCACTGTGGACAGTGCTGTACCCTGTGCCGTGACCAGGAATCCGCAGTATTGTGGATTTATGTACCCTAGGGGCCATGCCAGTAACAAGTAGACAAACTCGCATACTGCTATAACGTAGGCATGACTCTTGGCATACACAGTGTACACAGCGATGTGCACTGCAATGTACAGTTATAACTGATGTGCACAGAGCTGTGCACTGTGCGCTTGAGCGGGCGCTTGGCCGGAGCCGCGGCAGGGCTTCGGCAGTGCCAAGGCGGCCACTAGCCTCGGGTGACGAGTGAGGTAAAGCGCAAGGTCGCCGCCGGAGGAGAACAGAACAACGCCGCCGTTGTGCACAGGACACGGAGCGGCCTGCTCTAGTTTCAAACGCGCAAAAGTTTGCGGCGCTTTTAATGACCACGTCACGCTTGGGCTGGATCTCGCGTTTGCAGTAGTTGCAGCAGGAGCAGGGCTGGGATACGAACGTCTTTACCGATTGAAGCTACACTAGTCGGCTACGCCACTGGCGGGCTTAGACTTCCAGTAGAGCGGTTAGAAGGTTCGAAGCCCTCTGTGATGGTGCGACCGGCCCCTCCCTGCCCACTGCTCTGGGGGGGAAGTCTGCGGGCTGCTCTTGCCCGGCTCTGCGCGCGGCTCTGCCCGGCTCTGCCCGGCTCTGCGCGGCTCTGCCGCAGGTAACTTGCAGGTGCCCCGCCTCGCCACACCGCGCCAGCGGTCTGACGCAAGAGCGAGGAGACAGACGCGCCGGGTGGGGCTTAGACCAGGTCGACCTTGGATGCTGGAGCTGGAAGAAGCCCGTGGAAAGGGGAGAGGGGAGGGGTGGTGGTGGGGGGGGGCGAGCCTTGTGTCTCCACGCCGCGCCACGCCAAGGTAAAGGTGGGAGGGGGGGGGGGGCTGTGGTAGTGCAGGGGCTCAATGCCTGTCAGGCCACACGCGTATTATTTGGTGCGCGATCCAGCGAAAGAAAGCCCCCCTCTTTTTGCCGGTCCCTGCGGGGCCCATAGCCCGGGAGCGGCGCGGAGCGGGTGGGGGCCGGGGGACAGAGCAGCCCTGCCCAGAGCCCTCACGGCTGGCCGCGCCCCCTGCCTGCCCACCAGCATTCTTCTCTCATGCGAAATAACGAAAGCCACGTGACGTTCCCCGCAGACCATCTCCTCCTCCCTCCCCGCCTCCCCACACACATTCCTAAATATAAAAATGTTTAATTCGTTGTCAAATTAAAACTTAATTGATTGAATGCATTGCCTGCATTGCATGAGCTTCAATCAAAATAGCTTCAGGCAAACGGTTAATTCAAACGCTACGAAAGCTGCTGGCAGAGGTGCTGGGTCGTTGAGCCAGAGCGCTGCTGAACTCCCGTCGTGGAGCTGCCGCCGTCTTGGTAGGCAACCCATCGAACTCGGGACGGGCACTGAGCTGAGCACAAAAGTCTTCTCCACGCGCAGTAAAGGAACCCGAAAAGAACGTCGACTGCCATTTGCCGGTACAAAACTGCCTTGTTCGGCCTCTAAAAGCTCGCATAGCGCCTGGTAGGTAGGCAATATCTTGCCTGAAGTGCACCGGTGTACGGCGGGGTAGGCTACCCCGAGTCTTGCAGGCGCCCCGGGCTCCGGCAGTAATTATTTGCCAAATTTGAACCTGGAAATGAGGGTACAGCTTCTGGTGTAGGCAACGCATTCGACTCACACAGCGCCGGTAGCTAGGGGGTTGGCAACCCAACTGACTCGAGGGCAGCATCAGAGCGGGTATAGGCAACCCATTCGACTTGCGCGGCGGGGCGGCTGCTGGTCGCGGGGGTGGTCGCCGTTAAGGGATTTGTCTTGTCAGGCGGCCACCTCTGAGGCGCACCTGCGCACACCGCAGCGCGGGAGAATTAAACTGCTGACGATGATCGCTAAATCAAGCGCGGGGCATTGCCTCATTGCCTCCTCCTTCTCCCCCGCCCTCCCGAAGTGTGCTCCCTGCTGCGACCTCGCCCACCGCCGGTGGGGAGCAGGACCTTCTGCTGCTGCTGCTCATTCTCTTGGTCTGATTAATGGACGAGGATTAAAATTTCATCCTGAGGGAGCAAGCGAATAAACCGATTGTTTTGCCAGCAGAGGAGCAGCGACCCCCACCTCCTCCCGGTCTCTAGTCTACATGAGTTAGAGGCTCTGTATTTAATGAATTTATACTGGGGTGCGCGCCAAGCTCTCCAATGTTTTATGCCGCCGCTCCGCTCAGTTTTGTCTTGTTTGTTGGGCATTGTGTTTTGTTTTTTTTAAAGTGACTGGAATGGTCTAGTTTTTTTTTATTTTCGCCAAATGTGGTTTACGACCTGCGGAGGGTCGCGCGCGGAGAGTCGTCCCCCGGGCCCCGGCGGCGCGCCGGTATGCGGGCGTGGTCAGGTCGCCGCGCCTCGGCTGCTCGCCCGGCCGGCCGGTCTTTGAACCGCGGCGGAGCGGACTGGCGCGGGCGGACTGTACCTGAACACGGCCAGAGTAACGGAGACGACTGTTCTAGTTAATCTCGCGCCCCGCACTCACTTGACGGCACGGCCAAGTGCGCCACAACACCCGGAATATACCGCGTGAAAATAGTAAAATCGAAAGGTGGCCCGACGCGATGACGGGGGAGCCTCGACCTTCACCCACACGCCCGGCAACACTCTATTTTTGTCTAGTTGAGGCGCCTGAATGGGCAGAGGTAGCGGCGGGCGGGCTGGTGGGTACCAGCGGCCGCGCCCAGACTGCCGCTCCTCCTGCCGGCCCGGCGGCCACGCCCGGCCCGCCCGCCCGCCGCCTGTTCCTGGAGGGGCGCTGCCGCGGCGACCTTGATCTTGGTCGGCGTCCTTCGTGTGTGCGGATCCCGGGCCGGCTGCAAGGAGCGTGCGGGTCTCGGCGGAGGAGGGTGGGCGGACTGCAGCTCGACGGGAGAAGCGCTAGTGCTGGTGGCAGGGCGGCGGCGGCGGCGACAGGCTCCGATACTGTGCAGGAGGGCGACAATGTCACTAACGGCCAGTAGATAACGTTGGCATTACATTAGAACGAGTCGATATGCGGTGAGGTGCAGTGCTGTTCTATAGGCAGATCGCAACATGGCAACATAGAAGGTGCCCCGCCCTCCAGGGTTCAACGACAAACATCACTTTACGCTCATGCATATACTGAGGCTAGCACTCGCACGCATCCCGACACTCCCAGGTGCGTGCATCCGGTGCTGATACCAAACTGAAGAGGAGAATGTAGCTCTTCATTTTTTTAGAGAATACTAGAAAACTAACCGTAGAATACAGTTTTTTTTTAAAAGAAGAACTCAACATTTTATGCTAGCCGCCCATGGTTTTCTGAGTCTCCCAACGAAATAGTTGTCTTGTCTTAACGGACCACAAAATACCGTTATGACTTTTATATTTTTATGACAAAAAACGTTACGTAGGTTGCGAAGCGAAGTGGGTCACAGGTTAGTGATCAAGTTTGGAGTACAAGGCACTGTGAGAAAATCCCTGTGATCGGGCGTTTGCGTTCAACGATTTTCTTGAGACATGCTCTGCCCCGCCTACCCTGGCTCACCTGCCTGAGCGCAACCGGTTCGGGCAATGCACCCGAGAAGGCAGGCCATCTTCATCAGGTCCCCTTCGGCCAGCTTCCGCCCCGAAAAGTTTGACAATAACTCGCGCCCTTGTATATTAACTTGTACTCTGTGGACTAAATAAGATAAGACACTCCTTTCATTAAAAGTGTTCTTAAGCACAAAACTTCTATTTGGAACGATATTGCCGCAATTTGTTGCGAAAACTTGCATATCTGAGCTCTGGTACAAATGGTCACAGCTAAATTGCACCTCTGTAGGAAATGACAAGTTTAATAGTGCACATCATTATCTGGGACACAATGAGCTTACTTTATGTAATGGATGAAAATAACTGTGACTCTGGTAAAAAGCATCAGCATACAACAACATACTAAATGATGTGTAGTTTGAAGTGTGCACAGTTTATTCACTACATGGTGTGGAACTGAACTAGACGCCAGGGCTTTCAGAAAAAATTATATTAAATTTTATTCTACCGATAATTTTGCTCTTCTGGAGGAAAAAAATTCAAAAAGACAGACGTGCTTGTGCAAAATATCTTTCTAAGCTGGAGGCGGCTAATTTTTTAATTTAATTTAACTCTTTCTGCCAGCCTTGTTAGACGTCAATTTGGTGTGCAAACGTGAACGTTAAGTTCACTAATGTTTAATGTTTGCACATTACAAAGTGTGCAATCCACCGTGCAAAATCACCAGTTGCCCATATCAGTGTGCAATTTTTGCACATTTGTTTTACCTGTGACGGAAGTATCGTCTGCTCCGCCTGAACCATTACCAACGCCTCGACCCATCAGAAAAGTCGTAAGTCGTGAGACCAGCTACCGGAATACCGCCTCTGATTGGCTGAGGCTTTTGTTGTGGCCCGGGAGCAGACGATATTCCCTTTCTTCTTCCTTTCCCTAAAATACCTCATTGTCGCTTTCCCCATTTGAATTTGAAGCAAAATATGCTTGTCGGTTGGCATCCTCCCTTTAGCCATCGTTGCACACCGTTCAGTCATTACTGTGCAACTCGGTCCTTGCGTCCCTTTTCTTCTTAATTTGTGGGTGCTAGATCATCCTGCCGCGGATGATTTCGGTTAGGTTAGGTCAGTCCGGGCGCGTGTTGGGCGTGGCGCCGGGCGGAGCTCCCGCTCGGTGCTGCGGGCTGCGTCTGCAGCGGCGCTCTTCCCCGCGGCGTCGCCACGGGGAGCGAGAGAGAGAAGGGCGAAGAGCCGCTGCCCTCCCGGACGCCTCCCTGATCCGAGGCGTATAAAAGCGGCGGTGAGGGTTCCAGGGGTTACAGTTCCTTTTGCCAGAGCAACGAGGAGTATCCCCCACACACATCCACCATGAAGGTAAGTGCCGTTTTGCCATAGAAAAGCGTCAAAGTTATCAACCTTTCCTTCGCGTATTCACTGATAAACTAAGTGTTCAACTGCTCAACACTTGAAAGTGTGCAACTGCAAGTTAAATACTTGCAAGTGTTAACTCGGTAGATGTGCACTTGCAAGTGTGCAACTCCTCGGTTGCACACTTCCTAAGATTGGACGCTTACTGTGTAGGAAGTGTTCAACCGAGGAGTTGCACACTTGCAAGTGCACACCTACCGAGTTGCACATTTGCAAGTATTTAACTTGCAGTTGCACACTTGCAAGTATTTAACTTACAGTTGCACACTTAGTTTATCAGTGTTCGTAATTTCGAAAACATATATTCCTTTAATGATACACCAAAATCCGAAGTCTATGAATGTCGCACACCTGAGGTGAGTGAATTTCGATTCGCACACTTAGACTCGTTAGTAAGATTGCGTGGATTTCCACTGTAGTGGCAAATTTTCCAATTCCTCCAGAACCCGTAATATTTTAAAGCTCATCTGTTTATTTGACCGATTGTGAATTGTCCGGGTGTGTCTAACGCTGACCGTCTCCCCCAGGTCGCCGTTTTCGTCCTGGCCGTTGTCGCCTCCGCCTCCGCCGGCCTCATCCCCGCCACCACCCTGCTGCGCGCGCCCCAGCACGACAGCGCCGTCATCCAGAGCGAGCGTCTGGGCGGCAACTTCGCCTACTCCTCCGTGGAGGGCCACGCCTACCAGGCCGTGAGCCCCGTGGTGCAGCACGTGCAGACCCCCGTGGCCGTCAGCTACCACGCCACCCCCGTCAACGTGCCCGTCGTCCAGCAGGAGCAGATCGCCTACAAGGCTGCCCCCGTTGTCCACACCGTCGCCGCCGCCGCCCCGGTGGTCCAGACCTACGCCGCTGCCGCCCCCGTGGTCCACTCTGCGTACTCCGCCCCCGTGGTCCACTCTGCCTACTCCGCCCCCGTGGTGCACTCCGCCTACTCCGCCTACTCTTCCCCCGTGCTCCACTCTGCCTACTCCACCTACGGCGGCGCGTACGCTCCCTCCGTGGTCGCACTCAGGAAGTGAGCGCACCTCCCATCATCCACCCCCCGCAACACTCCTCCGAACCCATGGCGCCTCTCGGTGCCATAGGTAGTCGCTCTGAGGGTCGAGTGCTACTTTACCTTCGGTAGTAGCGGCCTATGCTGTCAATAAACCTTCCTACCCCACTACAAACACCTGTTTTCAATCTTTTATATCTCTGCCCTCTATTCACCGTTAGGCACATTTTCCTGTGTGGAGCTCATTCTTTTGTCTATTTTGTTTTCTTCTTTGACGTACGTTCCATGAACCTCCAAAAGCGGAAAAAAGCACTTTTAAAATCGACCACCAAAAAAGAAAAAAAAAAAAGATCACGCTATGGGAGATAAATCAATGAGGGACGCTGGTGTCGCGCTGATTACATTGCTGTTTTGAGGGGGAGGTGGCCTAGCCTCGTCATGGCGAACCGGGATTATCATTTTGGACAAAGGGGAGGGGCGGGGGATAATTGCATCCTGATTACCTCACCCTGACGTCGTTACCGACCATTTGAACGCCCCCTCTGGGGCCGCGGTGCTCTGTGGCGGTCGCTCCCCACCGTGCCGCGGCCGCGAACAAGGTGCGCTCTGCTTGGCATTATTGATAGACGGATGACTGGTATGTCAGTAGTCGTATCTCTGGGGTTCCATTTCATATCCACACCAACTTAGAACGAGCAGTGGTTGTTCTTTCAACGCGACTGCCTACACTGTCAACATTAAAGAAACGGGCATGTTGTTCAAATGTCCGTATCAAAGAAAGCAGGCATGCAATGGACAGGGTGTCTCATTGGCTCAGGCCCTATGCTTTTCGGGGGTTAGATACTATACCACGTCCGGGCGCGTGGACGAGTTGCCCACTCGCTCGGCGCAGTGCCACCGCGGTGAGATAGGCAATCGCACCCCTACTTCGAAATGCGGTACAGCACAACAATAACATATACGGGACCGGGACGAATAATAGGACACCACGTATAAAGGAAAGAAAATAATGATGACCATTTTTGGGTTACAGACAGTATACATGCACACTGACAGCTGTATGCATTTTCATTTTCATATGTGGTTAATGTTCGCATTTGAATTGACAGTGGTGCGTAGAGAGGCTTTCTGCTCTCTGCCTAAACAGAACGCCACTAATGCACGGAATGCTTCGCGTGTAGTTGAATCCGTTTCACAGTGAAAAACTGTCGATAGGTTTACGAGGAAATTTTCCATGATTTGAGTCGTAAAATAACAATCTGAAATTGTAAACTAATAAGCACTTCGTCTCGACTTGGAATTGGTCGACAAAATTGACTAGGAATTTTTTTTTACAATGCTTATTTTTCTTTGTCGCCGTAACGATGGAAAGAATGAGAACTGCAATACTGCGCCGAGTGCACGCATTTTTGTGCACCAAGCCCCGTCAGCAGCACATACATTCTGTACATTGCAATATGTGTGCGCGCGGGCAGCCAGAGGCGGGGAGGAGTGGCCTTGCGCGGTGAGTCTGCAGCTTCCTGGACCGATCAAGCTTTGGGTAATGGCTCCGCCGACAAAACGACGACCAAAAACTCACCGAAGCGCCACGCCACGCCATACGCGGGCTAATTTGGTATTCCTCCATTTAGCGAACGTGCGTGTGTGCGTGTGTATGTGGAAGGGCACTCTTGTGTGTGAGCGCGCGTGCGTGTTTGTGTGTGCGTCTTTGTTTTTCGTCTCTACAGTGTTGCTCGTGTAATATATCACAAGCAGTCTCATCAGCGGATCGGACCAGACCCGACCGCCTCTGACAACGGCAGAAAAGCACCATTTCAACCGCTCGACCCGTGCCGCCGCGCCACGGGTGGACTTCTTGCCCGCGCGTGCGGTTCAAAAGGGCAAACTTCTGCGTGTTTGGCTTATGAATGTGTTTTTGTTGCTGCTGTCTGCGTCAGTTTGGTCTCTCGCTTTATCTCGCTTTCCTACGTCCTGGTCCTCTCTTGCTCTGTCGCTCCTTTTACTCGCTTTCGGACACTTTTGCCCGTTTTCCGTCTGCTTTGCTCGCTTTCCATCTCGTTTACTCTGTTGCTTTTCATCTCCCCCTT